CGCTGTGTGCCTGCCCTTCCCGATAGAACTTAGAGTCTGGTGGGGGAAACAGACATTAAAGAGGAGTCACCAGCATAGTGTAAGAAGTGCTGGGAAGGAAGAGAACAAGAGAAAGAGCGTATTTAGTGGGGTGGGAGTGACCTTGACTTGCTCTGTCTGGGCATCAGGCCTTCCTGAAGAAGCAATGTCTGAGCTAAGAGGTGGAGGGAGGGTTAGAGTTTACAGAGTGGAGAGGAGGGCAAAACTGAAAGCAGAGGAAACTGCACATGCAGTTGCTTTAGGCCAGGAAAGTGGGTTTATTTGAAGGCATCATCCTGGACTCTGGCAGGGGGAGTTGGGGGCGGGGTGGGTACAGCGGAGGGGCAGAGTTAAAATGTGAGTTTTAGGCTCTGCCAGGGAGCTTGTATCCTGGTGTAAAGAGGAGGCAGCCACAGAGAATAGGAAGTCCCGGGCCCTCTGAGGGTATTAGGAAAAGTGCTCTAGGAGCTCAGAGGCCAGGGACATTACTCCTGACTAGAGGAATGATAGGACTCATCACCTGAGAGGTGACACTTGAGCTGGGCCTTCCAGGAGAGATAGAATTCTGGATATGCAGTATCTCCCAGCACTCTGGTACCAGACCTAAGGGGAATAGGAAGGCAAGCCAGAGAATATCTTGTTTCCTTCGGCCTTGGGTCTGGGACATGATTTTCTGTCCCACCTTCACATTATGGCCAGAGATTTTTTTTCCTCAGACTTTTTTTCTTCATTTAGGTGAGAGTCTTCGACCAGCCATGAACCATATCTGTGCAAATATAATGGGACATCTGAACCAGCATGGATTTTATTCTGTGCTACAGGTCTGTGACCCCATCCCCTAATATATGACCTCTTTCTCCAAATCTAAACGTAGATTTTCATGTTTGGTTTTGGAATACCTGGCGCCCTCCTTACAGAAACAATGTTTACAAGAAGAGTTCAGTGGTTAGTGGTCTCTCTTCTCCCTCCCCTCCTCCCCCCACCTTGGATCACTTGTGATTTGTGTAAGGACAGTGGCACCAGGATGTCACTTAAATGTACTATATTTTTGGCTACAGGTGTAATCCAGTCTCTTGAAATTTAAACTCAGGAAGCTCAGAGTTTTTTGCTCAGATTCTTTTTGGTTGGTGTCTGTAATTATCTTTCTAGCTCTGTGTCCTCAAACTGCCTTCTATCCACAGTGCACCTTTTGTGCCAGTTCATACATCCAAGGAATGGTCAGAAGCCTAACTGCTGTTTAAAAGAACTTTAGAATTCTCGAGTTTGAGAAGTTAAATGATTTAGCCCTCCTGCCTGGCACTGCAGTGGGCTCTTTCCTGATTAGGCTTTATTTTCTCCTCACAACCCTGTGAGGCGTCGTGACGGCCAAAGGTAGTATTTTCAACAGGTCATCACAGTGGGGAAGCTTCTACTTGACACCGAGTCTCAGAACTGTTTCTGAAAAATAATAGACTGTCTTGAAATTTTAAGTCTGATATTTTTATGAGCTGTAATTTAAAAAAAACTTTATTATTTTAAAAAATTTAAACATACCATGTAATGTAAAGGGAGTGGTATAATGAACCTCTGTACCCATTGCTTTTTTCTCTCATCATTTTTTTTTTTAACTAACTCCTATCATTTTGTAGTAATATTCCAATATAGTTTTTTATGTGAAGCACTCATTTCACTTTTATGCTTTTTTTTTTTTTTTTTTTTAAATACAGATGAATACAAAGTTGGCATGACCAGTTCCCTGACCAGTTAAAATGTTCTTTTCAGATATTGTTAACCCGTGGCCTGGCGAGACCTCGGCCTTGTCTGTCCAAAGGCACTTTAACTGCAGCCTTTTCCCTAGCGTTGCGGTAAGTAGGAAACTATAGCTGAGGCGTTGGCATGCTTCCGAAGGCTGCCTCCTCTCGCTTTTCTCTCATTAATCATGTTAGGTATGGGCTTGCCCACTGGTTCAGAAATTACAGGAAGTATTGTTCTTGGTGAAAAGGACACATCTGTGACTGTTCTTTTTCTTCCATCTGTACCTCTGAATATTTTTGCATCATGATTTGAGGAAAGCTATTCAGTCAGCTGGGAGCCAAGATAAATCCTTTCTCTTTTTGAGCTTTTAGTTGATAAAATAAAGGGAACCTAAGGGCTGGAGAAGAGCCAGCAAAGGGCAGAGTAAAAAGATGGAATAGTGTTATGAACATGAATTTAAAATGTTAGAATTTGGAGAACCAGGGAGGATGTGGTATTTGCCATCGGTTAAGAGATATGCAGTACATAGAAGCTAAATCTTTTCTAATAGAAATTATATCTGCAGTTCTGAAAACCACCAAATATAAAAGGCTGTGCTTGGTAATGGGTCCAGAACATTCAAACTGTTGAGAGGAACTGTAACTTGGGGAGTTGTTAATAACTTGATAAATCTTAATCCCCAGGATGATAATAACTTGGGAAAGAAAGGAAGGCCATGGTCAGACAGCTTGGTAAAGCTCCCTGCTCTGCCGCCTGCTGCTAATCCACAGTGCACCGGACTGCCGAAAGCTCTTTCAAGTCCTGCAGTAGCAGGACTCTTGTGTTTTGTTTTGTTTTGTTTTTATCCTGACGTGGGCCCAAACATATCTAAACATGGACTATCCTTGCCTAATGTTTAGATGGTAGAGCATGTCTGTTAATATCCCATGGAATTGTTTTCCATGGAACACCAGTTTGGAAAATGATGGTCTAGAGCATGGGTTGGCAAACTTCTGTAAAGGGCCAGCTAGCTAATATTTTTAGTTTTTTGGGCCATGCAACTTCTGTACTACTACCCTGGAGTGCAAAGCAGTTGTAGACAATACATACACAAATGAGTCTGGCCTTGTTCCAGTAAAACTTTATTTACAAAATTAGGCAGTGGGCAGAATTTGGCCTGTGGGCCACGGTTTGCCAGCTCCTGGTCTACACTGTGCTTTCCACTAACTACTAGCCACACAGAGCTGTTTATATAGAAATTTGTTAAAATTACCTAAAATTAAGAATTCAGTTCCTTGGTTGCATTAACTACATTTCAAGTGCTCAGGGGCCACATGTGGCTAATGAAGACCACGTTGGACTACAAATATGGAATATTTCTGTTGTCACAGAAAATTTTATTGGATAAGGCTGGTCTAGAGCAGCACTGTCCAGTAGAAATATAAGAACCACATGAAAAAAGTCAAAAGAAAGGGAAAATTAAGTTTAACAATATTTATTTAAACCAGTATAATGCTTACTTATAATATTCTTAAATTATCTATTTTAAGTAAATAATTTTACTTTTCATATTGTCTTCAAAAATTGATGTGTATTTTTACACTTATGGCATATCTGAATTTGGATGAGCCACATTTTACAGTAGCCAGTAGCTACTGTATTGGACAGCAGCATTCTAAAGGCCAGACCCTCATAACAGAGGAATAGGATCAACCAGTTATGCTGTAATTAGTTATAGAATAGAACAAGCTATCTAGTAAATTATCGTGCCTTCATTTCACACTTTGCGAGAAGTTACATAGAGATGTATTTAATGAGTCATACCGTCTAGATACAAACAGGTTTTCCTAGTAGCAGGCTTACTGGATCTCCCTTTCCTGAGTCACTTTCTGGGGCACCTTGTTCCAGTATCATTGCCCACTCTTCTCTGTCAGAGACAAGAAATAGGTGATACACAAGAGGGGGATGGGGCACTGGAGCAGCTCTGCCTCTTCCCCCATCTCCTGAGAACACATCTTTTTTCCATTCCAGCACCCCTCCCCCGCCCTGATGTGTTTGTAATTCACAGTGTGATTCACCAAGAGGGTTGCATCTGACCATTCTACCACATTTCTTCTCATTTAAGAACATGATATTCATTGTTTTAAGTTTTTTCTCTGTACATGTTAGAATCTATTGATTCACTTGTTAAGGCCAGGCTGCTCTAAAGCCTTTTTCTTAAACAGTACACCTTTCCCCACTTCTGAATATTTGTATGTAATTGAACATGACCAGGACCTTTTAAAACACGATATTCAGTGGCTTTGTCATCATGAATATACTACTAAAAGTGTATAAAATCATAAGTGATGCATTTAGACATAATCACCACATCTTATAATACAAATAGCTAACATTCATGGGCTGCATGTTGTTTGAAGACTTCTACATGCATTAATTGACTCCTCATTACATTCTTTTATCTCTCCATTTTATAGATGAGGAAGCTAAGGCCCAGCAAGATTAAGCCACTTGCCCTTGATCACACAGCAGGCCGTAGTAGGGCCAAGAATTAAACCCAGGCCGTCTGACTCCAGAGCCCACACTCATTACTCCTTACTCTCTATACTTGCTTCACATATTAGACACTTTTTCGTATTCTAAGAACAGTATATATTTCTTGAATTAATGGCACATGGGAACTTTTCCAAAGTTGTCCTGTTCCATTTATTATGTGGGACCCTTGTTTGCTTAGGTACTTGTAACTGCTAGCCCTGGTGTCTGTCTTTCCCTTCATGCCTTTCGGCTCCCTGGTTGGAGGATGAGCTCTCTTGGCAGGGATTATGCGTTGAACCTTTTACCTTTGTGTCCTGCTGTGCCTTTGGATGTGTGCACTGTTAAATGTACAATTAGCAATATATTTGTAGGATTTGTCACCCGAGGGGGCTTACGTGCAACAACTAAGGAAAGATTTTGATGACCTCGTGCTGGAGAAATAGATAATAAGAAATTGAAAGAAGCAGTGTTTAGTGTATGCGATCTTTTGAGACTGGCCTGCAAGACAACTCTGCATCCTCCAATGCCTCGTTTCGATTGGTTAGACTGAGTTATGTGGGAGTATGGCTTGAGATAGAATCCTTGGGTTCCTGTGAGAGCCCTCAGAAGGCATCTGCCCGCATGCCCCTACAATGATGCAGTTGTCCCCTTGGAAGTGGGAAGTGGTGAGTCACTGTTTCAGTGGCATTCTCTTGTGGTATACTCTTCCTCTGTCTAGAGAATTGTATAGTCCTGATTTAAACTTCTTCTCAGCATGCAGAAAATAACTTGATTCTGTTTTAGATAATTTTCTGTCCTACTCAGCTCAGTGCATTTACCTTGGTTGGTCAGCCTCCTCTAGATAGGTGATTGATGTAGGCACTAATACTTTGAGTGTGTCAGCCTCAAATTTTTCTTGTCCAAAATGGTACTCTTGAAAATAAAAGTTTGTTATATAAATTCTAATAGTCTAAATAGTAACATATCTGCTCATTGCTTAGAGCACATTAGCTAGAAGAGATCATGTTTCTCCTGCAAGTTGTTCTCATTATCTTTTTTTTCCTGCATAGCTTGTGTTTTCTCCTGTGTTTTCTTCTAAGTATTTTATAGTTTTAGTTATAAGACTAGCATTTAGGTCAATGATCTATTTCGAGTTTATTTTTATATATAGTTTGAGGTAGTGGTCATTATCTTAATAACGTTGATCTTTTTCTGATTATAGAAGTAATATATGCTTATTGTAGAAAACCTGGATAAAATAGAAAACTATCAGGCAGAAAAAATGTATCTCGTGCTTCTACAACCCAGAGATACATAGTTAACATTTTATCTGTCTTCTTGGTCTTTTTATTCATTATATGTATTCATGTATTTATATATACATATTTAAACACTAATATCATAATACAGTTGGCCCTTGAACAATGAGGGTTTGAACTATATCGGTCCACTTAATATGCAGATTTATTTCCAATAAATATGCAGTTGGCCATCCATATCCATTAATATTACGCTAAGATTTTAAAATTAAGGGTCGACATAAGAATGGTTTCTCTGCAGATTCAACCAACAGATCTAAAACAATGTGTTTTCAGTTTATTATTGGGAATTTGCATATGTCTTTTTCCACGTACATATTTTATATGAGAGACTAGCATGTGTGGATTTTGGTATCTGGGGGGTATCCTGAAACCAGTCCCCCACAGATTCCAAGGGATGATTGTAGTTAAGTTTTGGGGAAGTCAAAAGTTATGTATAGATTCTCAACTGCATAGGGAATGGGAGTTGGTGCCCCTAACTCCCACTTTGTTCAAGGGTCAACTGTATGTATATTTAAAGTAAATTGCCTAATCGAAGCATGAGTTATTGGTAAGTTATCATATAGTAAACACACCTTTATAAGCACCACCCCAATTGAGAAATAGAACAACAGCATTCCAAAGCCCCTCTTGTCCTTCCTCCCAATCAATACCCCCTCCCTCCTCTCCCATATATATAGTTTCTTAATGCTTTTTTTTTTAAAGTTTATTATAGCTTGAGCATTCTCTCATGTCAGTAAAACTTCAAAACTGATTTTTCATAGCTACATCATGTGAATGTACTATCATTGACTCAACCATTCCCCTAGTGGATCTCTCCATTTCTTGTCTTTAGTTTTTCTAGAAGTCTGCAAAGCATAATTTCAAGGGATTTGGGGGTGTTGGTATGGTTGTTCTTTTGCTCCAGGTTCACATGCAAACCTATTGAGTAAGGTGATCTGTCTGTGTCTAGCCCTGTGATTGCTGCACAATTTTCAGACAATCTGATTCGGCCATTCCTCATCCACATCATTTCTGTGCCTGCTCTTGTGACTCATCTCAGCACAGTGACCCCTGAGGTAAGTGAGTACCCCCCAGTTCCATTTTTACCTTTCTTCTTAGAAATTAGAAAATAAAATCTTTTTTTTTTTAATTTCCACTTCTCACCCTGATTTTTTCTTTTAAATCAGTAGCCAGTGTAGCACGCTTTTGTTGGTAGCTCAAAGAAACAGGTTCTCATATTTGTTCATTTTCTTCTTGGAGATCAGTAGCATGATTGATTACAAGGGGGTGATCTGTAGGTGATCAACTTCATGCTCTAGTGGGAAATTATTCCTGTCAGCTTCTGTGTTAACAGTCTGCAATTGTTTGCAGCGCCTCACTGTTTTAGAATCTCATGACATGCTTCGCAAATTCATCACATTTTTAAGAGATAAAGATCGATGCCGTGACGTATGTGAAAGTTTAGAAGGATGCCATACACTTTGTTTAATGGGTGAGTATCTGTGGCTGGACTCTTACTGTGTTCTGGCCATCGGGGAAAGCCCAGGTGTTTTGCTTTTCACCATTCTGGAGATCACGAGCTGTTTTTAGTAATAATTAGAAGTGCTTAAAATAAAAGACATGTCAGGTGGTTAAAATAGAATGTAAAATTGAAAATCACATAGAAAATATATCAGCCTGGCAAACTACTTGAGTAACTATAAATGAATGTTAAATTTTAGCCCTTAGCTTCTTGGCATCCAAAGAAAAATGAAACATGAGTTGCCTAGATAATTCACATCTCAAGAGAAAAGGGAGGGTGTAGTTAGGTGGGGCTTAGATGAGAGTGGGGCCTGCCTGCAGCATTTGTTTTACTACATTTTCATTGTAGCGGAAAGGGTTTATGGATAGAAGCATTTGAAAACAGCAGAGGTACATAATTCTCATTGCCTAATTATTTTCTTTTACATAGCAAAAGGTTCTTGGGGCTAAATTTTTAAGGGAGTTTATGATAAAAGACCTTACACAAGGCATATTATGTAACTTCGGTGAACATCGAATAAAAGTGATTTTCAAATGATTTTCAAATGATTTTCAAATGATTTTTAAGAGATCCCTCCCTTCTTATGTTGACCCTGGATTTTAAAATCTCAGTGTAATATTAAAGTGTCATACCAGCTAAATAGCACATACCTCTGTGTACCAGACCTTTGACATGTTACTTCATATAATTCTCACATGGAGAGTAGGGATCAGTATTCCAATCTCACAGATGAGAAAACGGTTTGAAGAGGTGGGTTGAGCTTCACACAGCTGGTCTGTGACAGAGCCAGGACTGGAAGCCGGGTCAGCCTTTTCCTTAGCCCTGTATCGCACTGCATTTCTAGCACTGACAGGTGCCCCTCTACATGGAATTTCTTCCTGCACATAACTATGGCTGCCTGAGCCCCAGGCAGAGAGCAGGGCTGGGAGGTGATGAAGCGTGTCTCTCTGGGCCCAGGGCACCCAGCCTTCTCTCTTTGTAGGCAATCTCCTACACTTGGGCTCCCTCAGCCCCAGAGTGTTAGAGGAGGAGACGGATGGGTTTGTGAGTTTGCTCACCCAGATGCTGTACTACTGTCAGAAGTATGTGTCCCAGAAGAAATCCAACCTGACGCACTGGCACCCTGTCCTTGGCTGGTTCTCCCAATCCGTGGACTATGGGTGAGTCCTAGGGGCAAATCACTGTCTTTCCTGCCTCTTTCCCACCACCTTTTCATTCTTTTTCCCAGCTTATGTTGTTTTGTTTCTTATTATGAAAGTAATATGTACTCATTGTATAAAATATAGTTAAGACCAGAAGAGAATAAAAACCGTCCCTTAATGCTGCTACCCAAAGACAACCTGTGTATACACCCATATTTTTCCCTACCTTTCTTTTTTCTCAGAAAAATGAGATATTTTGTATTTCATTCTTTTCAGTTAGTAAATTGTGAATCTTGTTGGTTGATTCTTTTTTTCTTCAATATCACTTTCATCGAGTGCCCAGACTGCCAGATTTTGGAGGTAATAAAATTAGACACATGATTCAAAGGAAATAGAAATCACCCTAGATCCTTTTCAAGAGGTGGGACATAAACTTAAAATTTTTAAATTAAAAACTCAAAAATATATTTTGTAAAAAGACCACTAGGCTAGAAGGTAGAGATTCAAGTAAGGCAGCATCACAAATTTAAAAATATGTACCCTGGGCTGAGATGATATGGGTCTCTGGAGCTAAGGCAGCTGTTATGTCCAGCTGTTTTCCTGTTCAGATATCTTCCTGAAGTCTGGGGTCCCTGGCAGGTGCCCTTTAGGCAGGAACATGAAGGCCAGAGAAGGAAATCTTGGATTTTCTCCCTTTTCCTTATACCTGAGTGACATTCAATTTAAAAAGACAGATTGCCATTGATGACGTGCCCCAGTGAACTGCCCCAGTTTGAAGAGGATGAACTGGGGCTGTCGGGGAGTTGGGAGGGATGTTGTGGGGGGCAGATGAGTCAGAATAGCATGATGGATGGCCTGGTTTCAGCTCCATTCCTCTGAGGGACTTTGTACAAGTTGCTTCACCTCACTTTCTTCATCTGAAATATGGGGATAATTTTCACAGTCCTGATAAAGGTGTCTTAAAGGATTGAATGAAATAATGCATGTCAGAGCCTGCTGCAGACCTGGCCTATCTTCAGTAGGTGGTGGCTGGAAGACAGTGGGAGCCATTATAGGATCTTAAGCAGCGAGATGATGAAAGCAGATTTCAGGATTTGAGTCTGACGCTGGGGCTATGGTGTACGGTGGAGAAAGGAGCGCTAGAAGGCAAGGAGACTCTCAGGAGGCTTGCGAGTCAGTGATATTTGTGTGCCAGGCTTGCAGGCTGGCTGTGAAAAGAGGAGCAACTTAGTAGGCATGAGATGGCTTCTGTCAACTGACTGGTAAGAAGGATGGTTAGGATGAAGAGCAGATAGAGGATGCCTTAGAGATGAGTGACATGAGCCTGGACCTAGGGAGAGAAGTAATGCTACTGGCAGCACAGGAAGTCTGGGTGGAGCAACGGGGAAGATAAAGAGGTCAGTACCTTGCATATCCAGGCCTAAGTAGCAATTTGTGGATTCTTTTTATCATTATCATTATCTTATTTACCATATTGAGTAAATAAGGTCCCTTAGAGAGCCAAATGGGCTTTCCCTGGCCATCCGTCAGATGGAACTGACATGCCTGGTCTCTTGCTTTCTCCTAGTCTTAACGAATCAATGCCCTTGATCACCAAACAGCTGCAGTTCCTATGGGGGGTGCCTCTAATCAGGATCTTCTTCAGTGACATCCTGAGCAAGAAGCTGCTGGAGAGCCAGGAACCAGCCCACGTGCAGCCAGCATCCCCACAGAATGTGCTTCCCGTGAAGAGTGAGTGGCTGGAGCAGGCCTGGTCTGTGTCTCTGCTGAGTTAAAGTTCAGCTCCGAATTGTTTCTGGGTGCCTGGCCCCTTCTGTTCGTGTGATGCTCTGACTTCTCCCACGAAGAATTTGAGACCGCTTAAATCAAGTTACATTTAGCAAAATAGTGACGAAAAATTCTTGGCAATGAAAAATAAATAAATAAAAATTCTTGACAAAAAAATATAATGAAGAAGAACCTGGGAAAAAGAAGTAGATGAACAAAATCAAGGTCATGTATAGAGAATGTCCACAGATAGATATTCCACAAGGACTGCCATGTTATCTCTGAACTTCCATTTGGCTTTGAATATCTAGTAGCCAAATGAAAACGGATTTGGGACCCTTTCTTACCTCTTATAAACAGGGAGAAGACTTGTTTCTTAGGGAAGTAGAGCTCTTCTGAGTTCCTGATCATAAAAGAAATCTCCCATGTTGGGCTCCTGATTAAGAGGACACTGGTTCACTGACAGGCTAGTACCTTAGCTGTGTCCTCACTGCAGGGTCAGTAATGGGTTCCATGGAAAGATTTCTTGTTGCCTGCTGTGATTAAAGTTAAGGAAGTGATGCTAATTTGGTGGAGTTACCTGCCTGTGGCAGATTTCTAGGTTCAGGGTGACTTTTCCTCTCCACCCAGTGTGCTGCAAAGTTTCAGTTGGTAGCTGTCCGTGAGCATAGGATCAACATGTGTAACTTCAGCAAGATAAAAATGGGAAGGTTTGAAATAAAAGTAGGGTACAACCACAGGCCAATTATTAGTACTTAAGGTTGCTGCTCCTGCTTCTGTCTAAAAGCACAGAAAATTGGGAATCTACCAGGCCTTCCACCTTTGCTCTCTTACCCTAATATAATCCTGAGGTGTTACCTTTGTGGGTTCTGAAGTTAAGCATACAGTAAAAGGATCCCATTAAGAATTGGACATGCCGGTGTCGTTTGGAAAAATTTTCTGATATTCTGAAAATGTCTTTGGGTTTCGCCTAAAAACCTATTGTTAATGTGTTTCTGATTTATCGCAGAGATGACTTGAATCAAGCAGCAGCCCCACTGTCCGGCTGAAGCTGTAAATTAGGAGCTTTATTGAAATGCTCTTCCCTTTATAGGGTGGAACTTGGCAGGTGGCTGAACTTCTGCTCACACGTTCCTTCTTTCCATGCCAGATCTCCTCAAACGTGCATTTCAGAAGTCTGCATCGGTGAGGAATATTCTCAAGCCTGTTGGGGGTAAATGCGTTGATTCTGTGGAGGTACAGAAGGTTTGCAACATCTGTGTCCTGTACCAGACCTCGCTGACAACTCTGACCCAGATCCGGCTGCAGATACTCACAGGTTTGGAGGCTTGAGTCATCTCTCATCTCACATTTGGCAGACAGTTTTCCTTAGAAATAGTTGATTTTCTTCTGGCTTCCTAGATTCAGAAAATAGGTGATGAAGGAGGCTATTTTTGAGCCATTCTTAGAGGTCTTTATACCTCAATTAAACAGGTCAAACTAACCTCTATCCTGTGACCTGGCTCTTACTTTCATTATGAAGTACAGTTTGCTTTTAAACAGTTACTAATTTTTTTTTCCGAATAGAAAACCGGAAAAGACAAGGAAGCAGGAAAAAAAAAACAAACTTAAACTGCTCTTAATCCCACAATCCCGACACCACTACCTATGGCTGAGTGTGCTACATTTGTATATATTTAGATTGAAATATATAGTTTTAGCCTTCTCTTTCATTAGTCACCTTTTATAAGTATTTTGTCATGTCAGAAATTCTTCAAAAACCTCATTTTTATTGGCTGTATAATATGCCACACTTTTTCCTTTTTAGCCGAGCAAAGAAGAAAGGCCTTCCTGTGAGCAGAGAACTGAGCATTAGAGGCTTTTAAGTTGTAGTGCCCAAGTTGGTAGTGTGAATTGGTATTAGGACAAGGAGTCTGTGAGCCGTGAAACTATTTACTGCATAAAGGATTAAGAACTTCTCTGCTGCATTTATATTTTTTAAAATCATAAATTGCTGCTGTTTCTCTCATACTTATTTCATCTTCAGATATTTATAGAGCACCTATGTGCATGGAGGATACAGAGGTGAATAAGGCAGCCAAGGTCTGTGTTCCCAAGGGGATTATATCCTAGTAGTGGAGAGACCAATGATAACCAAGGGAAAAATACGTTTAATGACAGGCACTATGACAAAAAGTACCAAGGGACAATGTTGGCTTGGGCTAGAGCAGGGTTTCCGAGCCTCAGTACTGTTGATATTTTGGGCCAGGTAATTCTTTGTCGTGGAAGCTGCCTTGTTCATTGTAGGATGTTTGGCAGCCCCTGGCCCCAACCCATAGATGCCAGTAGCACCTTCCCTCTCTCCCAGTTGTGACAGCCATCTGTGTCTCCAAACATTGCCACATGCCCCTAGAGAACAAAATCATTCCTGGTTGAGAACAGTTGAACTGTTGCAGTGATGGAGATTGAAACAGGATGATTTATGAAATCTTTTAGAGGAAGGGTCTCCAGGTCTTACTGGTAGATTGGATTTGGGGGAGTGAGGCCTAAAAGTTTCAAAGACGATGCCAGAGTTTTGGCCCAAGCAACTGTGGATGGTGGTTCCCTTTGCCGAGCTGAGGATGATGAGCTCAGGGCGGGGCTTATGGGGGTCATCAAGAGTTCTGATTTGGCAGGGATGAGTGTAAGGTGCTTGCTAGACCTGCAGCAGAGATGCCAAGCAGGCCTATGAATATATTCTGTGGGGCGTGAGCAGAGGGATGGTGTGTAAAGCCTTGGTCTTGGGCAGGTTCCCTGAGGAGAGTTCAGTGGGAGAAGGAAAGGGGTGGGGGCCCAGACTCAGCGCAAGTGCCCCAGCCCATAATATGAGGGTTTGGGAAGCCTATCGAATGAGAGGATTGTGACTACGTTCAGCTTTTTAAGGTGACCAAAAATTTAAGCGTCCCCCATTGTCCTAATGAAACAATCCAAAAACAAGTTTTTTGGCCAACTTGAAAATGTATACTTTCAACAAGAAAGATAAATTAGTCTTAAAGTATATGTATAATGTTAGGGTGCTGGTACCACAGTATGGGAAAGAATTCACAAAGTCAGGAAGTAAATAAAAAGGTTTATTTACTTACTAAGCAAGGAAAGGGATCAAACGTTAAGAGTAATGCTGGCCCTGAAGGGTAAGGAGTTTGAGCTTTTAATTGATTATAAAGGGCTAGGCAGCTGGTATTTGTAAACAGCTGCGGATGTGTCAAGAAGCTTGAGTTTTCTTAGATGTTATCTGAAGCAGGGCATCCAGGATATATCCTGGATAATTGCAGGCTTGCTTGTCTTGGTAACTTTTCCTAGGTCCATGAACTTAAGCTAGAGAAAAAGAAGAATTAGGGTCTTCTTGTATCTGTAGATTGTTTATTTTGGCTGATAGCCAGCGCCGACTCTGGCAAGGGCTCGAGGGTCTATAGGTTGTATATCTTAGCTGATAGCTGGAGCTAGTTCTGGTAAGGGTCCAAAGCTTGCTAGGAACTGAGCTGTTTGTCCTTTTATGTAATATTTGATCTGTTAGTTTAGCAATATACACATTATAGAAAATAGACATTTTTAAAATCTTGCTGTTTTTTCTTTTCAAAATTTGCGAAGTGTCTTTAAGCTTCTCACATGTGTATGACAGTCCTGGAGCCCTGTGCCACTCCTCTGACACAGCTTTCCAGAGCATGGCATCTTTATTTCTGCCTCAGTTGCTCAGGATGCAGCCCTTTTTGAGTGGGTGTATGATACTATAAATGAATATTTTCATCCACATAGTGAGTGCCCGTGCACATAATGTAAGAGCAGTTGCTTTGCTTCTTTTGTCCTGTAGGAGTATATTTTTGACCTCCAGGATGCAAGTACCTATTCAGTTTCTTTTTTTAACCTATTTTTAAATTGTGAGATTGCTGCATTTTATAACCACATCTTCCTACCCTTGAAAATGTGAGGTCAGAACTTTAGGGATAATAACTAGTGTTAAACATTTCTTTGCCTCCTTTACAGTTCCCTCAGTTCACACTCTAAGTATCCATAAGTAGCATTGATTGAGTCTGTTGTCCTACCCACCCACCCCCCGCCCCCCCGATCCCAGGCTAATAAGTCTTCCCCAAATAGTTCTTTGTTCAAAATGAAGTAATTCTATAAAATGAGGGGTAATATAAGGACTCAAATATAAGGCAGCTCCCCCTTTTCTAAGGAATAATTTGAGGAACACATCGTATTATATGTTCTGTGACACATGGAACTTCAGAGCCAGACTTTCTAAGTCAAACACTGTATTAATAGACTTAGAACATAACAGTGATATATAGCCTGTGAGTCTGAGGCCTCGTAGCCATCAAGAAGCAGGCTTAAAATGTCCTCTGCTTCACCCAGGGTTAAATTTGTGTGTAATGCTTGAGGTCTCTCTGCAGTGGTCATTCATTGCTTTTCTACTTTTAACATAGAATAATGGAAGTAGATGAGAGGAAAGCTTTGCTAAATGCAGGTGCTTCTGCAAATAGTTTAAAGTAGGGGTTGATAAACTTATGGCCTCATGGGCCAAATCCAGCTTACTGCTTGCTTTCGTAAATAAAGTTTTGTTGGAACAAAGCCACATCCATTCACTTACATATTGTCTATGGCTGCTTTTGTGCCACAATGGTAGCATTGAGTAGTTGTGACAGAGACTAGCCCACAAAGCCTAAAAATACCAACCCTCTTGCCCTTTCCAGAAAAAAGTTGCTGATCTCAGATTTAAAACGTCAGTGCTGAGTCAGACAGACCTGGGTTCTATTCTTGGCTATGACATTAGTTGGCAGTGTGATTTTGAGCCATTTAACCTCTCTAGTCTTCAGTTTCCTCTCTCAAGATGGAGATAATGTTGGGTTTCACAAGGTGGACAGAAGATAATGCATGCAAAGTACTTAGAATATTATCTGGTACATAATAAGCACTCATTAAATGTTAGCTATTATTATCATTGTTATCCTCATGGTGATAAAGATTTTCTTAGTAATTGTGTCTTCTTTCTCTCGCACACATTATTCACTAGTAGGTGTTGGTGTTTTGTTTTCCCAATAGATAGGGAAATAAGCCCCTACCTGAAGCTTGAGTTTCTCTATCCTTTTTCAGGTCTTACTTACCTTGATGACCTGCTGCCCAAACTGTGGGCGTTTATCTGTGAGCTGGGGCCCCATGGAGGGTTAAAGCTCTTCTTGGAATGCCTCAACAATGACACCGAAGAATCTAAGCAGCTCTTGGCCATGCTGATGCTGTTCTGTGACTGTTCCCGGCACCTCATCACGTAGGTTGACTGCTGTGGACCTAAATTCCTTTCCTAGAACATGGAGAAAAAGTAATTACAATGTTAGTAAGGAAGCAATTGCTGATGTGATTACTGCTAATGTTTGGACCTGTGAGGCAGGGTCATCAGATGAATTAGACAAGAAAACATTTACAAAGTGGGTGGCACATAGTACGGGTTCAGCAATTGTTACTTCCCATCCTTTCAGGGGAGCTGGGTCAGTACCACTTAATGTGGGCTTCGGAGGTCTCCTAGAGCTAGGTTCAAATTACCTTGGCTATTTACTCACTATGCTAGGTAATTCATTGGAAAATTCCAGAGCTAAAGAGGCAGGTTACAAAACCTGGCTTGGCCACTTATTGAGACACTCTGGGCAGAAGCGTAAGAGGCTCTGCCTCTCTGAGCCTCAGTTTCCTCATCTATAGATGGGAATAACAATACCACCTTACCTCTTAGCCATGTGGTAAGGATTAGATGAGATAATGCCCATAAAGTGTATACCATTGTCCATGGCACATAGAACTCAGTCTGTGTTGGCTATTTTTACCATTATTATGGGCAAGTTGCTTAATCTTTCTGAGCCTCAGTTTCCTCATTAGTAAAATGGAGATAACATTACTAATCTGATAGTAAGTAAGTGAGAAAAGGAATGTCGAGTACTTAGTACAGTGTTTGGCACAGGTAAGAAATTAACAAGTATTAGTCATTCAATTTGTTTGTTCTTTAAGCTTATATGTCTACTTGTGTATCTGGTATTCTTTTAATTCCCCTTTTTTCCAAAACGTTGGTGAAAAATTATAAGATAGACTGGACCTCAGGCTTATTTCCCTATCCATTGTTCAAGCTAGAAGACATTGATGGGAAGGAATCAGGGATGTATAGCGGCAGATTAGGTAAGAATCATGGAGGGAAATCCTCAGTGAGCAGGTGGAGGCAAGAGCAGGGGTCTGTAGCTGCTGCTACAAACACCCTGAATTGCTGGATCGGGGTGACCCAAGAGTGAGTCATATTCTAAAGTGGAGCAGTTCTAGGAGATTTTCAGCTGTATCTTAAATGGTTCACTTATTCATGTATTCTTTCAGACATTATTCACTCACTCAAATATTTCTCCAGTACCTACTAAGTGCCACTAGTGTCTGTCACAGATGCAGAATAAGCTTCCACAGCTTTCCTCAGCAGACAGACTCTTAGTCAAGATTTCTTGATATTCAAGCATGATTTCAGCATGAATTAAAGTGTCAGTCAGATCCTTATGAATGAGAAAAGTATAGAATAGAGCTTACTGTTTTTTTCTTAATTGTATTTTAAAACTTTTTACCATGGACAATTTCAAATCAATAGAAAGTAGAGAGAATATAGTATAATGAACTCTCATGTGCCCATCACCAGCTTCAAAAGTTATCAACTCATAGCCAGTCTTGCTTCATCTTTACCTCCACCTGCTCTCTCCCTCATTATCTTAGACAATTCCTCACAAATCTTAGACATTATATCATTTTATTTGTAAATTTTACAGTAACTATTCTTAAAAGATAGAGCTTATTTCTTAACCTTTTGTTTAGTATGAGGTACAAATCTTTAGTTTTCTTATTGGGAAATCGTGAATAATTTTCTGTCTCATTTAGGATCCTTGATGACATTGAAGTTTATGAAGAACAAATTTCATTCAAACTGGAAGAGCTAGTCACCATCTCCTCTTTTCTGAATTCCTTCATGTTTAAGATGATCTGGGATGGAATTGTAGGTAAGATAAAGATGTCAGCCATCATTCAATTAATGCTGCAGGCAGGGAGGCCAGAATTGATAGTATCAGCTAATTCTTAGCCATATTGTCTATTAATGTTAACTGAAAATGCACATTTCTTCACATAATTAGAAGTTTTATTTCTTCCCTCTCTATCTGTGACCTCTTAAGATAGTGATGTGGTTAAAGAGGTCTTGTTCTCCCATGTGTGTTTCAAGATTTGCATGTATGTGCCAAGAATTATGAAAGATGATTTTGTCCTTAATCTCCTTTTGGCTCTTTGAGTTGATTTCCATGAAGAATAAATATGTGCCAGGTCACACTTCAGATTAGAGTACACCTCCTGAAGTGTTTCCACTTGTGAATTCAGTACAAAGTTCCTTAGATTTAAAAGGTCCTTGGATGACATACTAGTGGGAGGCAGCATGAGTGATTGGATACTCAGGTCCTATAGACACTTAGAACATACCCAGGGTGCTTTTTAGTTCTGTTGGTTCCATGTAAAATTCAGAGTGAGGGAGATAAAGACCATGATGAGACTTGGTGACGACAGGAAGAGACAAGACATTGTCCTCCCAGCTCTTCTCCAGCTCTAATCAGCTCCATGAGTGTGAATCTTCCTTTTTTTCTTTCTTTCTTTTTTTTTTTTTTTTTTTAACCTTACAGAGAACGCCAAGGGCGAGACCTTGGAGCTGTTCCAATCTGTCCATGGGTGGCTTATGGTGCTGTATGAGCGGGACTGCCGGCGGCGCTTCGCCCCAGAAGACCACTGGCTGCGAAAGTGAGCACTGGGAATGGGAAAGGGGACTGATGGAAACACAGACCCCTTCATCAGTGCTGCTGGCAGCAGTTGCCCGAGTGCTCAGCACTCATGTTCTAGGTTAGAGAAGAGTTTCATCCCGTCCTTTCATCTATGTAAAGAGAGCTGCTGTTCCTGTGAAGCACCTGTCAGGACAGATCGCCTCATAATCACTTCTGTTAAGATATGCTTATACCATAGATGATTAGAGCTCATGGCAACAAAGCCACATCATATTTAGTAAATGTTTCGTATCTAAACTGAGAAGAAAGTTTTCAGCTGAACTGAACAGATCAGGATAGATAAATGGCAGTTTTTAAAATCAGAATTGGCAGGGAAAAACTACAGCTAGGTCTTTTTGAGGGGCGGGATAGGGGACTCCTTTTGCAACAGCTAAACATAAAATCAGGTCCAGATCTTTTTATCAATGACATGTCAACTCTTATGTAACTCTTGAAGTTCTGGCACAGGGAGAGGGACTGGCAAACTTTTTCTGTAAAGACCAGATGGTAAATATTTTAGGCTTTGCAAACCAGACAGTCTCTGTTGCAACTACTTGGTTCTGCTGTTGTAGCGTAAAAACAGCCAGAGACAACATGTAATAAATGAGTGTAGTTGTGTTCCATTGAAACTTTATTTATGGTCAGCAGGCTGGTGGTTTTGGTTTTTATAAAAGATTTTTATTAAAATATAGCTAGCATACAATATTATATTATTCAAATATACACCATAGTTCTTGAACATTTATTTAGTGTTCTTGTTTTAATCATTTCGAACCCATGTCTTTCTTTTAAGGGATCTCAAACCTAGTGTGCTGTTTCAGGAACTCGACAAGGACAGAAAACGGGCACAACTGATCCTGCAGTATATCCCTCATGTCATTCCTCACAAAAACGTGAGTCGCACTCAGAGCCGGGCTCTTTGCGTGTCTTTTTTGTTCTACCACATGGTTCCTGACTGTGTGTCTCTGTTATAGCAATTGAAAATGAAGAAATGAGATAATTTATTCAGCAAATGCAAACAGTGATTCTATCTTAATCTGTGTCAGATATTAAGCTAAGTACTGGGGTACAGAGATGGAAGACATTATAAAGTGGCAATTCTGGTAGAGTTGGGTATATGTATACTATAATTTAATATTGTATGCTAGCTATAGGGATGGATGCTGTGGGAGCCCAGAGAAGGGAGTCAGGAGCATAGTGGACCGTGTTTAAAGGCCTCAAATGGGAGAGAATGGGGTGCTCTTGGAGAGCCAGACGTGCAGTCTGGCTGGAGGGAATATACAGTGAGAGCCGAGAAGCTGAGGAAGTTTGTGGGTGTTGGAACAAGGGCCTTGTCAGCCAAGGGCAGGAGCTTGGAGTTTGTCCAAAGCCATTGCAGTTTTCAGCTTTGGAGATACCTGGTCAGAGCTATAATTTAGAAAGTTCTTCTGGCTGTAATGTGGGGCACTGGCTAGAGACAGAGGTGTCAACAGCAATCTGGCCTTGACTCAGATGGGGCCATGGGAGTAGAAAGATGATAAAGCCAAGAGATTTTTAAGGAGGTAGCACCTATAGGCCTTGGAGAATGACAACATTTGGAGGAGAAGGAAAGGAAGAATTCAGATGATGCTCAGATATCTAGCTTGGGCTCCTGGGTGCCTGGGAGAGCTGTTTCCTGAGGGAGAAGCCTGGCAAGAGCAGGTCTGGAAAGTGCTGGCGAGGTCAGCTTTGAGAGGTAGCATGGGAGGTGTCTGTGACTCCTCAAGGCCATTGGACACATGGGTCTGGGGCTCAAGAGAGAGGACTGGGCTGGAGACAGTACCCAAATCTCCTAACTGCATTTATGGCCGTGGACAAGGTGCTTGGAGAATCAGAGTAAGAAGATCAGGGGACTGAGGCCAGAGCTCTGCAGGACCTGTCCCTTAAAGGGCCAGCACAAGGAGAGAAAATGTAATCAGAGGGAGAAAACCAGCAGTGTGGTGCCACAGACCCAAGGGACATGAGCTACTTGGAAAGGGTCAGCCTCTGTGGGAGAAGTGTCCAAGAACTGAGGGAAAGCATTGCTCACCTATCTCGTGTATAGTGTACATTCCAGAAATGTCTATTGGATACCGGGACAAGACTGTACTTGCTACCTTATAAGAGGCTCTTAAATGTCTAGATGTGCTCTTTCTTTCCTTTTTCTTTTTTGACAAAATAGACATTTTGCGTAAACCACATGTTTCTAAATTAAATCTCACTTTTCAGAAATACTTAACTCCTCTTTGCTCTCTGATATTGTTTTGACCTTGACGTTAATACTTATGGTTGCCATTCTTTACCCTCCAGCAATGATTCACAAGCAAACATGGTTGTTTAAATTCTTATTGCTTTTGACAGCAGAGCCTCTCAGAAATGAGAGCCCTCGTGGAGATGCCTTAGTCATACATTCCCTCCATGAGGATGCCCCTTCAGCAGTCTCCCTGACCTTGCCTCAGATAGAGAACATGCAGCTTTGCAAAGCAGGCCATTCTATTGCTTTATTTTTCCCAGTGATGGAACATTCTTCCTCGTCTTAATCTGATTTACTTCTCTGTAACTTCTACCCTTTGGCCACTAGAGGTGGACTCTCTAATCTGAGATTTGCAGACAGCTCTTGTTTGCAGTCTGATAGCAGCTTTCCTTCCTCCAACTGTTCCTCTTGCAGGTGGTTTCCAGCCCTTCGCCTCCTGGGCCTAGTCTAGTTTGGTGGAGTCTGACTTAAAGTGCAGCACCGTGTCTTGGGCCTGTGGTCTGTGAATTCAGCCCCAGACCATAGGATTCCCATACCGTATAATCTGGAATCTCTGTTCTATATATATCTGGAGCTCACAAATGGTGTGCTGGGGTGCCCCAGGTTCCTATTGGATATTTTAAGTTTTTGAGAGGAACACAGTGAAATCTGTTAGACATTATATGCAAGTACTAGCTCAGGTTTACAGTTTCAGCATTCTTTTCAATGATGCTATATTTGTTAAGCTGGGTTTTAAAAATGAAATTTAAAAATTTTTTTGTTTCAATGTATGTCTATTTTTAAATTCTTAGCACATAAATACTTAATAAGTTCTTAGGACCTAATTACCAAATAAATGGAACTGTTGAGTATTTCTTTTGACCTAAGAGTGCTATGAAAATAATGCTGAGCCACTAGGGTTGCTGTGAACAAGAGCACTTGAGAACCTCTGAGAGTAGTTTCATGACTTCTGAGTCCAGGCTGTATTATGATCTTCCCCATTTTTTTTTCTTTTCAGAATTTTGCTTAAGATTGCCATCAAGACTTTTGTCCTTGGCTCATAAAATTTCTTTTTTTCTCAGGAAATAGGCCTCTTCCTCATCTCCCTGCTTGTACTGCTCCCCCGTGATGGCACTAGCAGGTCTGGGAGAACGTCTGAGGCTTGGTGTGTTAGTGCAACAAGGGCACTCACGTTGTCTCCCGTCTCGGGCTTCACTGCCCTCTTATCAGGGTCTGTGCTGCCCTCTGCCATTGATCGATTCTCGCTGCAGCACACTGGAGAGTAATGGGATCTCTCCAGTCCTGCTTTCTCTTTCATCTGTTACCACTATGCCATATAGCCCTAAAAGCCGAACTTCTCCCTTGTTCTTGGTCTCACTTGAGTGGGTGGCAAGTCTCAGCTGCACCTGGTTCACACACACACTTCATTCTCTGCACTCTCTTACATTTTGCTTTTACATGTTTACGTGCACTTCAACTTCCAACTGGGACTTAAGACTTCTCTCTCTAGCCTTGGCCTAGAAGGCTTAGTTCCAAGTGGGATGGGCAGTGGCAGGGTGGTGTGTTCTGTGCATAGGCTCTAGGTTTTAATCTGGCTCCCTACCCACCAACTGCCCATTTCTTTACCTGCAAAACGGGGATAGTGATCCTTATCCAGAGGTACTCTGCTGTCACCAAGGTCTTTCCACCTCTTGAGAGCTGGTTAAGTTTGCCTCATACTTTCCACACCCCATGGAAATCCAGAGCCCCATCCTGTCTTTTGATTCCTGGGTGACTGACATTCTCATGGTCACCTCTGCAGTTCCGCTGTGTATGCTCTTTCTGCCCCATACTGTGTTAACCCAGATGCGAAGCTCATCTTCTGCATCATGTTTCATAAAATGGCACCCCTCGTTTAGGTGATCATGCTAAATATTTGGTGTCACAGGAAGCAGTCGTACCACATGGCCCCCACACAAGTTAAACACCTATTCCTGAAAGTCTCCAGTTCTCCCACCATAGAAGGGAGAGGAAGAGTGCCCTTCATCTGCATCGCTGTCCTCCGTCGCTGTTCCTCAGTCTGCTTTCTCCTGTCCATGTGACCCTGGAACCCCAAATATTTTTGATGCTATTCAGAGCATTTCAGTCCTTATTTCTAGACTTAAGAACCAGCCAAATCAAACTGCTTCGCTGAATAACAGCCCCTCCACCAAATACATCTCTCCTCCTTAGGAGGCTGTTGGCAGTTGCTTTTTCTGTTACAACCATATTTACTTCACAAGTTAATGTAAATGATCAAACGAAATGCACTAGCCTCCCTTTGTATATAGTTAATCCTTATTATTACTGTTCTTGTTATTAGTATTTTATTTGTATTTAGCAAAGCTCTCGACTTTTGAGGGGAATTCCTATTTAAAAAGAAAAACTGATTGGATTTATTTATTCATTCAGGTGACATTATTTGAGTGCTATTAATAGCGGTGATTCTCAGACTCAGGATGGGGCAAAGGGTCAGTGCTCACCTGAAGGGGCTTATCAGAATCTTAGAGAGAAGGTTCTTTTCAAACAATAATTGAGAAATATTAGCAGTGGGACTATGGTGTGCTCGAGGGCACAGAGGAGGCAGATAAAAGGTCAGGAACCTTTATTCTGTAGTATCATTTAAAAAATTTCTGTAGTATCATTTAAAAAATTTCTGGCAGTGAAAAAAACTGCCTTTGAAATGTTTCTGTTTTTTAAATTTATAATATTGATTTCCTTAAAGCAGGCACAGCTATATAAAGCTGCCTCTGCAAACTTGTCTTGCCACCAGGTCTTTACAGTGGATTATTGACTGAACAAAGAGAATGATTTCTCCTAGACTATTCTTAGCTGGACTCTTATCTGCAGCCAGGCCACTCTTTCTGGAACCTTTATTCCTTGGCATGTTTTCAGCTATATTTCTAATTCCCAAGAGTGTTTTAGGGAATGTTTACTCTTTC